TATCTATCTATCTATCTATCTATCTATCTATCTATCTATCTATCTATCTATCTATCTATCTATCTATCTATCTATCTATCTATCTATTTGTTTTTGTCAAAATAAAAAGGTCTACCTATTGACGTACATAATTCCAATTTACAAAGTATTGGTCGTGATATTATGTGTGTAGCTACCTGAAGCTCTGCCCTGTTGCCTGTTGAGGTTTTCCTCCAGCTAAATGGATCATTTGTATCAGCTCCACCCTGATGGTTATCCACCAATTTCATGTTGAAAAAGCTCACATCTTCCTCACCAATGTGAGACAAAGACCTTGACCTTGATGATCTCTTCATCTTGTTTATCTTAACCTGTAGAAATAATACCATGATGTCTTTACCACAAATTGTTAATTTCTTGCGCGCTGATTGGCTAGCTGACGTTAACGAGCGCGCGCTCTTTCCGTTGATTGTCTTGATTACTATTAAAGGGTGAGGTATTGCTTGTTAGTAATTTTGGTGTGGTAAAATACAAATCGAGGTCCCCTTTTGGCTGTACTCTTATCGAGTGTGGAATGCCGTCGCCCTCGATTTGCTAAATGGACTGGTCAATCTGTATGCACATCCTAAAATATTTATCATAAAGACAAAGTTTGGTGCTTGGTAATTTCTATCGAACCCTGAAACATGGGCCATCAAGTCGGTCAGGCAGGGCATGGCTAATTCATGGTTTAGGATTTGAGAGGGGAAAATCAGAGAACCTTGAGAAAAACCCTTAAATCATAAGATCAATAATATTGTTATGGCTCAAAGTCTTGATGATGATTATTTTTCATACTGCTAATAATAATAACTTTAATATTTATAACGTGAATATAATCCATGAGCTCACATACTATTACCTTGGTAAGTCTAATTGCACACGCGAAACATTGAGACAATCCCTATAGAACTTCAAGTATGATACCTGTACCTGCACTTATCCTCCTCGAGCCTAAATGCCACATAGGGCCTTATTTGTATCTTAGACGTATGTAGCCTGAGTCTGTATATGAGAATATGAACCAGGGATGTTTATGCTTAATTCGTTCAATTATTTTATTTTATTTATTTTATAACTTTTTAAATGGCCATAAGTTCTTGATTAATTATATTGAATTACATATATATTTATATTCCACACACATAAAAACTGATGTCTATTTGTTTTTCACAATAACAAAAACGATTAAAACTTCTCATTTTTAGCAGTCTAAACCACCAACAGAAAGAGCGCGCGATCGTCGTTGACGTCAGCTTTATCTGTCTGTCTTCTTATTGATGATAAAAAAATAACCAATCAGCGCGCGAGAAATTTGTAAGTTGTTGCAAAAATATAAATAGTTAGTTTATCATTGTAAATAGTTGTATTAATTTGTTTTATGTATGCTATTGTAAATCAGTCTTGAACTTATGGAAACGTAGCTATATAAGAATAAAGTTATTATTTATTATTATTATTATTATTATTATTATTATTATTATTATTATATACATACCATTAATACTATCAAAATGATGGTGTAAATCAAAATGACGCCTCCAGCTGCTATGACAACAATCATCCAGAGTTGCAGAAACGGCTCAGACGTGCCCTGCGACGCCCTCGTATCACTGCGTTCATCATTCTTCACCTTTATGACCTTTATCTCTCCCAAGTCCGTAGCCTTTATAAGATTGATTTTAGTGCTCAAAGATTCCTCATCAACAGAAGAGGTTTGATCAAAGTAGACTTCGAACTCAAACTGGACGCTTCCTTTGAAGATCCTTAGAATAAAAACTGCGATGAAACCTTCCAGGTTTTCGAGTTCTTTTYTTAAGACATCTTCTAGTTGCTTCGTGAAGTTTTTGCATTCTTCTGTGTACCGGAAAGCATACTTCTCGTTCCATTCACAACCAATCGAAGCGATTACTGAGAAAACTCTCGAAGGAGTCTTTGTGGTATCTGAATATTTAAAAAAAACATTTTATCTGATTTTCAGTGACTGTATACAATATAAAACTTTGTTCGCACTACGCAATTAGGATTTATTCAACGGCACAGAGTCTTAATTAAAACTACTCACCCTCAGTTGTAGGAGTTGGCTTCGTTGTGGATACAGGCTCAGTCGTAGATGGAGTCTCGGTCAGCGGTTCAGTAGTGGTTGTTATTGTACCAGTGAAAGATTTAGTTGTGGTTGGTTTGAATGTTATAGAAGCGGAAGTTTCAGTGGTAGTAAACGCAGCTGTTGAGGAGGGTGTTATTGTGCCAATAGTAGATGGAAGATACGTACTTTCAGTAGTGGATGAACTTTTTGAGGTAGTGAACTTTGTATCCTTAGTCGTGGCCGCAGGTGTAATAGAAGAAAGTGTTACTGTATCAGTAGTAAGTTTAGCTGAAGATGTAACATAAGTATGATCTACGTTATATGATGTCTTAGTGGAAAATATTGTAGTGGTATTAGTAAACTTTATATTAGTTGTGGTAAATATGATGGAAGAAGTTGTAGGAGTAATGGTTAGTGTTGTGAGATAAGTACTAGGTGTTGTAGTAGTAGTAGTAGTAGTTGTGGGGTTAGTTGAGATTGTTGTAGGAGTTGTGGTAAGTGTTGTAGCATTCGCTTTAAGTGTTGTAGTAGTTGTACTTGGTGTTGTAAGGTAAGTGGTGGGAGTTGTAGCAGTGGTGGTGGGTGTTGTAGCAGTGGTGGTGCGTATTGCAGCAGTGGTGGTGCGTRTTGTAGCAGTGGTGGTGCGTGTTGCAGCAGTGGTGGTGCGTGTTGTAGCAGTGGCGGTGCGTGTTGTAGCAGTGGTGGTGCGTGTTGTAGCAGTGG